ATCATTATGTCCAGTTTCAAACGTTGCTGCAATTTCATGCTGAGCCTTGTGAACCATGGCAAGTCCTGCCCATGCTATCCGAAGCTCAATTGTTGCAGAGTCCCCTTCTCTGAGTATTGAAGCCATTTCATTCACAGCCCATGAAAGTTGTTCAGTGGGATCTTGAGACCTTTCAGCATCCTTGATACGATGAAGCGCAACAGCACATCGAGTTGACATGCAATTAGGCTCCAGCTTTGCTGCCTTCTCCAGGCACTTTCCAACACTTCTATGATCACCAGCCAAATAGTATGCATTAGCAAGATACACCCAGATAGATATGTGCAGCCCTAGGATCTGATCTGACTGCAGCTAACAAACACTCTTTTGCAACATTTGCAGCCGCAACATGAGGCATACAAGCTCCTTCACCAGCGATGACGACCTTGGAGTAGTTGCTCTTATTCTTCTTTGAACTCTCGTCGATGGAATCCTCGAYRACACYGGATTCCTGCTTAATCGGAACATTCTGGGTGTTGCTAACCTGCGCTAGGGCAATGACCTGCTGCTCGCCGGACGATTCTGCCATGTCTGGCCGGCGGCCGGTTGTGGTTGCAGCCCCTTCCAGGTTCCTTTCCTTGCTGGAAAAGTACAACTCCATCAAGCGCCTTAATTCTCGGACATCGTCCTTGATCTCGTGCACCCCCTTGCTGTTTTCCACGAGTTTGTGCTCCAGATCATGAACCCTAGACGTCAATTGCTCAAAGTCACCCATGACGCCTCGCTCTGATACCAAATTGTTATGGGCCCACGAATAGGATCCCGTCATGGGTCGGTCCACGGGGAAAACCTCCTATTTTCCCTTGTTCCTCCCTGCTCTTGATGAACCTATCTTGGCGCCTTAATGGTGATTTGTCCAAGAGATCACCTAACTCTCCTTGCTCTCTTCTTGACTGAAATTTTCCGATGATCCTATTCAATATTCTCAGCTCCTTAAATAGGAGATTACAAGAGATAAGAGTCTTACTTTTAGGAAGACTCCTTGCTAATTAGGAAGACTCCCTACTAATCTATCCTACTGAACTGATAAGATAAGATAAGATAAGATAAGACTCGCTTAATCTATCCTACTGAA